TAGGGCTATCAAGGGTGTTTTTATCGTGACACCATCACTAAATGGATCGCCAACCAAGGCACAGAGAGACTCCATTCACCCTCATCTAAGAGCAGGTTTTAAATTCAGAGTTTTCCTTCTCCTAGACCGGTTGCCATCCAAGGTTATAGAACCCACTTATTTACCCATAGCTGGAGGGAGAAGAAAGAGGATTCACACCTTTCCCAAGGGTGTTAGCACTTAAGTGAATGTAATGAATTCGACTGGAATTCGAACTCGGCTCTCCGATTCCTCAATCCAAGCCGCTATCCATTAGTCCACCGTCCCTTCTGGTGGGGGGGACTTATGTTTTGGCATCGTATGTCCCATACTTTAAGATTAATGGGCAGCTCGACGTAATGTAATGGTGTAATGGTTATCAAGCTTCTCTCGCTAGAACTATTACAACTGGGTAGTGAGTTCGATTCTCACTGGGTGCTCACTACTTTGGGCCTTGTGCCACATCTAAGCTACGCTTGGGAAATCCCTACTTTAAGATTTAATAGTTTCTTAATTGCAAGTCCAAATCCCCGTCTCTTTTTTATTTTTCATTTTATATTTTGTCACAAGTTATCAGATTCTGGAGATAATAAATATTTGAAGATATTATTAATTAGAATTTCAATATATTAACACAATGAGCACGTGACCGAGTAGTTAGAACGTTCGCCTTCTGGCCATGAGACCCGGGTTCGAATCTTACCATGGTTGATTTGCCGGGAAGGTGTATTCCTGATGTTATCGGACTGGAACGACCGATCCCTTTGGGAAGTACCTGAAAACCATATAAGCGTGCTGGCCTTGTTCAAGCTGTGGAAAACTCTAAATAACACGCCATTTCCCAGAAATTGCCACTAAGGTCTGCTCAGTATAAACCACAGGCTGGCTCACTCAATGTACGGCGTGTTTACATACAAATCGAATGAACAAATATAGGCTTGTATTATATGTATACGGTTCGTATTTGCATGCATATTGGTAATGGGGGTCATGAGGGTTGGAACACTCTTTACAATTTGACCTTCCAGTGCTAAGAAGCAGGGTGATTTTTATGGCAGGTTCCAAATGGAAAAGACGCGTTATATACAATGAATGATAATTATAGGCTTACGTTATAAGTGTAGGGTTCATGTTTGCTTGTACAGTGTAACCCGGATATAAGAGAAATTTTCTCTGGTCCCAAATTAGAGCCTGTGTTAATGTAAACAAAATAGACCAAACACGGATATAAGAGAAACCCGGATATAAGAGACTTCTTCTCCGGTCCCGACAACTCTCTTATATCCGGGTTACACTGTATACCAGAACTGAGTGTCGTGAGAGTTAGAAAACACTTTACAATTTGACTTTTCAGTGCTAAGAATCAAGGTGATTTTTATGACAGGTTCCAAGTGGAAAAGATCCGTTATAACCTATGAATGATAATTATAACTCTTACGTTATCTGTGTAGGGCTTATTGTTTGCTTGTTTCTCTGGACTGGTGTTCGTGACCGTTGGAAAACTCTTCCCTAAAGACTGACCATTCAGTGATTTTTTTGTGAGGTAGGGGTCATATTCCAAGAAGAAAACATCCTATTAGATGGACGGGAATACACGGTACTCCATAGCCAATATCAGCGAATCCGACGTTACAAGTGATTACATGGGGTAAAAATAGTCTCATAGGCAGTAAACAGATACTTTTATTCAGTTGACAATTGTGGCGTGTTAAATACAGTGTTCTTCTAGATTATTAGACAAGGTATTTTATGGTGGTAAATATGATGCCTGAAAAGCTTTCAGTTGAATCATATATTCGGTTAAAGAAAATGTTATTTCACTTTCCTTCCAACGTAGGATGACTTGTTTGCAAAACAGAAAAAAAAAATCTCCTTCTATATAACGTGACCCTTCAGGACGTTGGTGTTCATGACTCTCCACGATTTTCTGTCCTTTGTAACTCTCAATAAGTGTTGTTGTTTTACCTCTCCTAAACTTTAGACCGTCATCTATTTATACAAGCGCGTTGTTGTTGTTATTGTTGTTGTTGTTGTTATTCTTCTTCTTCTTCTTCTTCTTCTTCTTCTTCTTCTTCTTCTTCTCCTCCACCTTCTTCTTCTTCTTCTTCTTCTCCTCCTTCTTCTTCTTCTTCTCTTCCTCCTTCTTCTTCTTCTTCTTCTCCTCCTCCTCTTCCTTCTTCTTCTTCTTCTTCTTCTCCTCCTCCTCCTCCTTCTCCTTCTTCTTCTTCTTCTTCTTCTCCTTCTTCTTCTTCTTCTTCTTCTTCTTCTCTTCCTCCTCCCCTTCTTCTTCTTCTTCTTCTTCTTCTTCTTCTTCTTCCTCCTCCTCCTCCTTTTTCTTCTTCTTCTTCTTCTTCTTCTTCTTCTTCTTCTTCTTCTTCTATGTGCCGAGTGCCTTCAGGACGTTGGCGATAATGGCTCTCTACAATTCACCTGTCCTTTTTGTTTTTTTTTGTTTTTTGTCTTGCTAAAATCTGTTCCGTCA